AAGCAATCCCTAGGCCATGGAACACGGCCAATCTCAAGTTATTTTATTTTTAGCTTTCTTCTTTTCAAACATATGTAATTTTTTTCTCCTCAATAAAAACGATTCTTTTCAGCATGAGTTGTTCTCTGAAAAGTTAGCTTTAGTAAAGTTTAGGTATGTTGCAAACATTTTTATTCTAAGTTGGCTGGAAAAACTAACTTAGAGGTTGGCTGGAATAAACCAACACCCCTCCTAAGCCCAGGATAAGGATCCAGGCTGCAGGACGTTTGGTCGGAATAACCAAACATTTTATTCTAAGTTGGCTGGAAAAACTAACTTAGAGGTTGGCTGGATTAAACCAACTCTTTGTACTCTTCAGCCGAAGTAAGGGTATGGCTGAAGAATGGTTGGCTGGATTAAACCAACTCTTTGTACTCTTCGGCCGAAGTAAGGGTATGGCTGAAGAATGGTTGGCTGGATTAAACCAACTCTTTGTACTCTTCAGCCAAAGTAAGGGTATGGCTGAAGAGTGGTTGGCTGGATTAAAACAACACTTTGTACTCTTCAGCTGAAGTTAGGGTAGGGCTGAAGAGTGGTTGGCTGGATTAAACTCTGTGTACTCCTCAGCCGAAGTAATTATGTCGGCTAAGGAGTGGTTGGCTGGTAAGCATAGTTAGTTTGACCAACAAAAACCAAGATAAAAGTTGGAAGTGAAAAGATCATGGAAAAATCAGTACAAACATACAGATCAACCGAAGTAAGAGTTCAAGCAAATTTTCATTAAACAAAAAACTACAACGGAGAGGCCACAGCACGGTTACAAGTTTGAAAACAAAAGAAAAGCAAAAAGACAATCAGTTGAAAAGATCATCAATTTCGGCATCAAACGCAGCATCGGCATCAACACAAAGACCGGTTTCAGGCGGGAGCTCGCTCTCGGTCACAAGGGTGGTTTCGGTCGGAACCACGGTTTCACCTGGTAGTTCAATAGTCAGGTCTTCCACCGTGGGCTCCAGCCGAGCTGACTGATCTGCATTGACAACCGGAGTGTCCTCAGAGGCAGAGTCTTCGTCAGACTCTGAGCCTTCTAGAAATTGCTGCTGAATGGCATTAGCATACTCCACTAGGGAGTTCGGTATGAAGTAGGCTGGAGGGTTGAAGACCTCGGTCTGTGGATCGTGACCGAGCTTCTCAACAGCTGCCCTCCAGCCGCATTTGAAGAATAGTTCCTTGGCGGCTTCGCACTGCCGGGTATAAGCATCCTCTGCCTTCTTGAAGCCTTTCTTTTCGGCTCCTTTTACGCTCTCCTTCAGCTGGGTTATCTCGGTATCTTTCTTCTTTTCAAGCTTCGCCAGCTCGCGCAGATACTTATCCTTTAGCTCAATGGCGGCCTTCTGCTTTTCTGCTTCGGCCGAACTAACCAGTCCGGCCAGTCGGCCGTTCTCAGATCGTAGCTCGGCCATTTGCTTTCTGGACTCCTCTAGCTCGGCCGTCTTTGCTTCGGCTTCTGCCACGACTTGCCTTGTTGTTTTCCTGAGCTCTAACATTTTCCTGTGAGTGATGTTGTTTTTCTAAATAGCCTGACAAAACATAGACTTCCCTTGAGCTGAAGTGAAAGTTGGAAATATTAGACGGAAAAACGGACAAAGCTACTTACCAGGATCATGGATTTTGTTGAAGACCGGATAGCCTTCAGTTCGGTGTTTAGTTGCTTTTGGTGGTGCTCCATATCTTTGGGGAGGCACACACTCTTGGCCAGGTTAAAGGCCAACTGGTGATCCTTATCAGCAACAACCGAGTCAGAGTCTTGGATATCTCGGTTGTTAAAGGAAAGCTTTGGCACCCAGCTAGTGGTAGTTCGGTCGGAAGGCTCCAGTTGGGGGCTCGGTGGCAGGCTTGGTGGAAGAGCAGCTTCTTCTTCATCAACCAAATCAGTTTCGGTAGTCTGAGCGCGCTTGGTTCGGCGGGATGAGGACGGTTGTTGTGTAGGAAGGGCCACCACCGTTTCTTGGGTTTGACTTGATGGTGGTACTTCGGCCCTGTTGGTCTCAGTCAATAGGGCCCTGACTCGGTTTCTTTTAGCCGTTTCTTCTTCGGCAGTCAGTGGAATTAGTCTGATTTGTGGCAAGGTTGGGTCCGGTTCTGGGGCCTCTTCAAGAAGAAAATCAATCACTCTGGCTTTTCGGCGACCACTGTATCTGTAGGTCAGCTCGAACTTAAGCAGTTTTGCCCAACTACGTTCTGAATACCGTAGTGCGGCGCGCAGAGTCGCTAGATTTGGATAGCTATATAAAGAATGGAGGTGGGCAGAATCTGCGAAAAAAGACAACTGTTAGTTCGGCTGAAAGATTGACAAACCGAAATATAAAATAGCTAGCAAGAAAACCGAAGTAAATTTACCAGGTTCTCCTTTTTTCCAGTTTATACGTCGGCCAGGAATCTGGGCTTGATGATCCTCAAAATTCCCAGACACCCAGAAAAAATCGTCGTCATTTGGGTCCTTATCCGGTGTATTTTTTATTATTTTCTCACGTCGGCGGCGTATTCTGAGGTAGTATACCCAGCCGTCTTCCTTCGAACCAATGGAGTATTGGTGAAAGATTTCGGCCATACCAAGGTTGAGACCGGCTTGCCGATTTAGTTCGGCTATTCCCATGATTATGCGATATGAGTTGGTGGATAGTTGGGTTGGGCATAGCCTAGTTTGCCTAAGAAACTCGCAAATTAAAGGTTGGACTGGAAATCGTAGTCCGGTTTCGATTATGGATAAGAGGGTGAAGGGGACAAAGCCTGCATTGCCCCAAGGAATGGCATCCTTTCCGGCTAAAATCAGGTGAACGTCATCAGGTATATTGTAGTCTTTTCTGAATTCGGCTAGGCCGCCCTGAGTGTCTACTAGATACCTATACTTCCCCATTTATTGTATAAGTTATTAATAAATTAGTTCGGTCGGAAGAATGTGCTCAGTAGCTCGGTTGAGCGCGCAGAAGAGTGCCTGGGCAACCTAAGTCTGCAAAATGGAAAACAAAGGTGTTAAGCACAGATCGCAGACCGTGCTACAAAATCAAAGCAAAGATAAAAGGTCCTACTTCGGCCTATGGGGGATGCTGTATCTCTGTTCAGCAAAATGCTGGGTAGCTCGGATGGAGCATAGGGTTCGCGAGATCGGTTTTTGTATGAGGTTGGTTATCTCGGTTTGAACTATGGGTTTTGTTACTTCGGTTGAGCCTCTAGGGGCAGCTTTCTGAGTTTGGTTTAGAAACTAAGAAAGCTGGCTTAGCCCCAAAGGCTTAGCTCGGTTGAAGGCCGAGGTTCCTAGTTTACTGAGTTCAAACTTCGTTCGGTAAGCTTATCTCAGCTAAAAGTGAATCAGGAGTTTGTAACTTACTGAAACTGCTGTTATTTCTACAAGTTCTAGTTTGGTTATTGTCTGAATTGATCTACATATATAGCACAAACAGTGTCCTAGTTCGGTTGGGACAAGTTTTTGGATCAAAACTACGTTCTACAGGTTGCTTCATGATATTCATAGTTTTCTTATGAAGATTTTTTCCAGAAGATACAAGACCCATGAAAAGTAGAAACAGAAATGTGTTTTGTATTTTGCAAAAAACACATAAAACAAATTACAGTAAATAAAGCAAATACAAATACAAAAGAGATCTAAGTAGCTTACCAAGGTAAGAAGAAGAAACTGGAGATGGAAACAGTAGCAGCAATGAAGAGCACGAGCTTGGTAGCTGAAGAAGTAGAGGCACAGAAAGAGAAAAAATATGAATAGTATAGGTGAATGATTCAAGAACAAAGGATTTGTTGTGTACAAAGAGTGAGGAAGGGCGGGAACTGTTCAAATTTTTCAGAGTACGAGGGCGGCGTGACAGCTGCCCGCAACCAATTGGAGCCTGCCACGTGTCACTGAAAAAGGAAGCGATTCAGTTTCTGTGATTGAAGCGACGTTCTGACCAGATAAGGATAGTTCGGCTAGTGCTAGCTCGACTCTACAGGCTTAGAGTAATTAGCTCGGCTGGAAAGGCTAAAACTTTAGCCCGGTTTATAAGACGGGTAATCCCTATCAAGCTACGCAGATGGAATTAAGGGGCAATTGAGAGGGTAATTTATATGAAAATTGGGCCGAGCTAGGTAAATGGGCCGTTATGGGCCGCAGTACGATGGGCCGACTAGAATGGCCGTATAAGTTACTCCGGTCTTGTGAGTGTTTTGGAATTACTCCGGTCTTGTGAATGTTTTGAAGTTAGTCCGGTCCAAAAGAAGATTGAAGTTACTGGCCTAAAGATGCTTCGGAGCTAGACCGGTCCTCGAATTGAACCGGTCTTGACATGTTAGTTCGGTCTAACTGTACCATGAGTTGCACGTGAGAAGCCGAAGTAAGGAGTAAAGGGAAGAACCGAACTAAGTATAGTCCGGCTTCCTCTGTGGCTCAGCATAGCCATGATTACTTCGGTTATATTGGAGTTTGGCCATGGTAAAACCATCTCACTTGGTTTAAGCAGTGAGGGGGGTGTTAAAGGATAAGCATTATCCTACAGGAGTATGAATCCTAGGAGGACTCGGCATGGAGGAATAGAAGTTCTACTAGGATTGTGCCACACAAAACTTATAAAAGCTCACAAACATCACCTTTGGAGAGGTAACACACAACTTTGCTTTCTGAATTCTCAGAGCTTTGTCTATTTGTCAAGTTTGCTGACTTAGGCATCGGAGAGGTTTCCGGCACACACCCGCCGGCTAGCTCACGTTTGTATTTACAGGTGATAAGGCGACGTCGTACGGAGGAGCGCAGACTTGGTCAACAGGATTATACGAGAAGGTTTATTTCTTTCCCGTACAGTTATAGATCATTCAAAATTGAGGATATTTGCAAACTTACAAATGCATTTTATCCCATGGATTTCTCCAAGCAAGAAAAATTGCATTTGAAATTTCAGTTGGAAAACTATAAGCTTGATATTTCCATACTTCCCGAGTTTTAGAAGCTGTCAACCATTTCTAAGTTGTGTCAAATGTTGGCAAAAATAAAAAAGTCGACAAGTTATCCTCTTATTGATAGATTGATCCGCCTTGTATTGACTTTACCTGTTTCAACTGCTACATCAGAACGTGCATTTTCAGCTATGAAACTCATTAAGTCTAAATTGCGCAATATGATAGAAGATGGTTTTCTGGCTAGTTATTTGATTGCGTACATTGAAAAAGACATTGCTCGAGGGTTTGATGTAGATTCTATCATCCATGCTTTTGATATTATGAAAGAGCGTCAAGTTCAATTGAAGATGCCTAATTTTAGTATATAAATGCATGTAGAAATAATTACTACTTTTTGTAAGTGAATATGGGCAAAAAAATATTCTCAATTGTATAATCATCTTTTGGTACTCAACTATGTTGACAAGGAATATATAGTTCAATATTTTATCGTAACATTATTGATTTTTTCCATGTTAGTAGAAATTGGTATTGAACTTCAAATTTTATTTGTTAGAGGTTAAACGTACTTTGGCCCCCCAAAGTCATAATCCTGGATCCGTCCCTGGCTGTAATTCCACCAAGTTTCAATAGTTGGAATAGGGAAGGACTCATACAAAAAAAAATCAAATTAATCAAGCATTCAAAATCACATGATCCATAGTTGTTTTCTAAAAATAGATAGTATATTATCAAAATCATATATTTTAAAAAAATAAATAAATATGATCTTATTATTATGAGGTTATAAATATATAATTAATTATGATCTTTTTTATAATTGATTTACTTGAAAAAATTTACAATATAAATTATTTAAATAATCGAAATAGACCCAAATTGTCCTACAGAAGGGTCACAACAGCGTTCCCAAGACGACACCAACAACTCAATGGTTATCAAACATATAGAAACATAAAATTTATATGAAGATATATATAGGGTAAACTACCAATAGATCTTAATAGTTAGACTTAATTCCAATCAAATCCTATTAAAATAAGTTCTAGTAAAATCATCGTAAAAAATAATTTTTTATGACAATTTTTTGCATGTCGCTAAAAATTGATAAATATTAGTGACTTTTTTTTTGTCACGATTTCTATAAATTGTCGCTAAAACTTACAATCAATGATATTTTTTTATGACGAATTTTTCAAACCGTCACTGAAATTGTACATTAGTGACTTTTTTTTTCCCTAAAACTTATAATTAGTAATATTTTTTGTGGAAAAATTTTCAAACTATCACTTTAAATTAATAATTAATGATGTGACATATTTAAGTCCACTTATTAAAACTTACACGTAAGTGCCTCATATATATATATATATATATACAGATATATGATGCGACATATTTAAGTCTTCTTATTTTAAATCAAGACCTATTGGATGGGTCATGTTATAGGCAAGTTATGACATTTGTAATTTTGACTATAAAAAATGTCATATTTAGATTATTTTCAATTATAATTATGAAAAAAAAAAAATGAGTCATAACTAAGCACCAGACAAAGTATAACTAAAGGCATTTTAAATCATATCTAAAATAATGTCATAATCAAAATCACAATGAGTTATAATTAACACAATAGTGAGTTATAACTAAGTCATAACCAAATCATAACCAACAACAAAATAGGTCATAACTAAATATCACAAAAATTATAAGTAGAGCAAATAATATAGGCCTCAAAAGTAGAATTTCCCCGATTTAGAGTGGCCTTTATTTCAAAAATATAACTACCATATTTTTCTGATTAAATATTTTGTATAAATTAATGATAAAATAGCATTTCCATCCCCCCAAAAAAATGTGGTCCAAGCATTTCACTTAGAAAGAAAATGGAGGACTTACATGTAGGTCCTACTAAGTGGACTTATTGTTTAATAGGTGTTATAATAATTAATGACATTTTTCATCATACTCTATTAAAAAATGTCAGTAATTGTTAATTTTGAGCTACAATTTGTAAATTTTGTCACAAAAAATATCACTAATTATAAGTTTTAGTGACAATTTCAAAAAATCGTCACAAAAAAATTACTAATTTTCAATTATCAGCGACTGTTTGAAAAATTCATCACACAAAAAATCACTGATTGTAAGTTTTAGTGACAATTTATAAAAATCTTGACAAAAGCCATCACTAATTGTTAATTTTTAGTGACGTGTAAAAAATCGTCACAAAAAAAATATTTTTAGCAATGATTGTACTAGTATTGATTTTCAATAGGACTTGATAGGAATTAAGTTCAACTATTAGGACGTATTGGTAGTTTACCCAAAGAAAAGCTACTTCTTTTATGTAATTTATTAATCTAAAAGAACTCAACATAATTGGATGCTAAAAAATTTAATGTTAATTATCTACAAACTTAACCGTAAGAGCTTATGAAGAAGGTAATGGTTGGTTGTATGAGAGTGTGATCGCATCTCGTGAACTAGTACTAAATATTAATATCCTCTTAAACTACAAAATTGTACAGTTAAACCTTTTAATTTTAAAATGTCATACAAATATCTATGTTTGGATAGGTGAATGAGTGTCTAGAGCTAAAAATTATTAGATACTTCCAGAGTACCATATTCTCTTCGTGATCTACTCTCGGCCAATGAGAAATTGCAACACACACTAAACAGTCATCATTTGTCTCCTAACTATCCCCACAAAGATGAGTTAACATGTCCCATTCATAAAATTTTTTGCTATGCAATTAATTTGAAACACCATATAGACAATGACACATAATACTTTAAGACTAGTCACTAATTATGCATTAAAATTTGAATGGCGCAAGTCATGTATGACAACTTTGTAATAGTAGGGCAGAGAATGGAATTTGAAAGGAAGGTTAGGGGTACATACATCACTCTTTTTACTTTTTTATACGTTTTTTAATAAAAAAAATTAAAAATCAATTAAAATAACAAATTCCCAAACGGCGCCACAGTTCACTTCTTGCCCTCTTAACATCACTCTCTTTGTGCCAAATGCATGCATGAATATGAGCTTTTTATTCTTCTTTGTTGATATAGAACTTTTGATTGAGAAGATGCAAGTATCAACGTAAATAGTGCCGACTTTGAGGCAAAGTTGAGGAAGCAGCTCTTTTGGACCCCAAAAATTGGTTGAAAAAAAGGGTTCTCAAAAACTATCCCTTAAATAGAAACAAAAAAGCTTGTTCATGAAGAAAATTATTTAAAATTAATGGATGATTATTTTTCAAATATATGGTTTGTGTATGGAAGGTTATTGACTATCCCTGTTACAGTTGTTTATGGGGAAATAAACTTTTTAAAACTGAAATTGATTAAATCTTACCTTTGGTTAACTTTGTCACAAAAATGATTCAATGGATTTGATTGTTAAATTGAATTATGCAAGTTTGATTAGTAATTTTACAACTAATAATTTGAGTTTTATACTTGAGATTACGAAAGTTCAAAATTTTTAAATAAAATTTAAATTACCAACCGATTTGATTTTGGGAAAAAAAAAGTTTAAAAATCAATCCACATTAAAAGCTCGCTTTAGAATTATCTATCTTTATATGTATAAAAGCCCCATGATAAAAAACTTGATTTGGGTCTCAAAAAAGTCAGCAAATTTTTCTTTTTTATTGCTTATTCAAGCATGCATTCATTAGAATTTTCATTTTTGTTGTTTTATAGACTCTAGGCAATAATCTATATTTTGTTGTTTTTACATTTTGCATTTTGTTGTTTTTGTAGATTCTGGAGTGCTTGACACAAATATGGAGGCCTTAGGGAGGAAAATGGTAAAGCTGTGTGCTGGTTTACCATTAGCAATCGTTGTGCTTGGTGGACTTTTGGCAACAAAGCGTACATTAATGCTGTGTTTGGTTGGGAGATTTGGGGAGGGATTTGGAAAAGGAAAGGGAAAAGGTGTGTAAAACTATGTGAAATATAGGCATGATTTATTCACATTTCACCTACCTTTTCCATTTCCCTTTCCAAATCTCTTCCCAAATCCCCCAACCAAACACGGCATAAGGGAATGAGAGATGGTATACCAAAATGTTCGTTCGCATAAATGGAGCGACGACCCCATACAACATGACAATGGAGTATCAAAGGTGTTAGCTTTAAGCTACCACGATTTGCCTTATCAATTGAAGCATTGTTTTCTATATATAGGTCACTTTCCGGAGGATTTTAGGATAGGTGCTGAAAGATATCACTTGTGGATAGCTGATGGTATAATTGTAGATGATGATAGAGTGGGGGATGAAACAATAATGGATGTGGCAAAACGTTACTTGGGTGCGCTTGCACAGAGGTGCATGGTTCAAGTACAAGTAGAGACGTATACTCAAAGGATCAATTATTGTCGCATTCATGATCTCATGCTAGAGCTATGTTTGTCAAAGGCAAAAATAAAGGATTTTCTTCGAATCATTTTTCTCCAACGTGAAACTAATCTAGCTATTTGCTTTTCCACTACATCAACAACTACTATTCCAAAAATGCGCAGGCTTGCAATTCATTTGAATAGGGATGTCCAAAGTGTTTTCCTCCCTGACTTTGAGACAACTAATCAGCTAAGATCAATATTATTCTGCAATCGAGGAGTGTATTTGACTGAGTTGAACTCCCATTTCAAGTACTTCAAATTGCTTAGGAATTTGGATCTTGAAGGATTTTGCTTTGATAAAAAGTTCGTCAAATCAATAGGTGACCTAATTAGCTTGAGGTACTTGAGTTTTAGAAGATGTTTGATACCGAAGTGGCATTCGTCTATCTGCAAGTTGAAATACTTGCAAACCTTGGATTTACGAAATTGCCACTTCAACTCAGGTGAAGTAATAGTCTTACATAGAATGGAACAATTGAGGCATTTGTATATTCAGTTGGATCTCGATGTCAAATTAAAATTTGATGGGTTGAGCAACCTCGAAACATTAGGAGGGTTTGACACAGGGTCTTGTGACGTGAATGATCTGTGTAAATTGATCAATCTTCGGCGAGTAAGAAGATGCAACTTTCTGGAAGAGGAGCAATCAGGACTTGGCGGCTTTCATCAACTACCTAAACATCAGTGCCAACCACCTTCGACAAACATCCTTATATATGTATTATTACAAACAAGAAGAAGAAGAAGAAGAAGAGTTGACTCTTCTCGAACAACTGTTAGGGTGTCACCATCTTTACAAATTGACTATTGATGGAATTATTACCAAGTTACCAGAGCACTGCCAGGGTTTCTCTCCCAGCCTCATCGAGTTAAAGTTGTCTGGATGTGAACTTGAAGAAGACCCTATGCCAACATTAGAGAGGCTACCTAACCTACAATATCTCTATTTAGGTAGTTCTGACATTGAAGACAAATTGGTTAACTCCGCTGATGGTTTCCCCCAACTCAAAATGGTTTGCTCCGCTAATGGCTTCCTCCAACTCAAAACCCTAGAACTCAATCGGTTTTACAACTTAAACGAGTGGGAGGTGGAAAAAGGAGCCATGCCCAATCTCTCTTCTTTAGAAATTGAATGTTGCCCAGGACTAGAAATGGTTCCAGAGGGACTGAGATTCGTTGCTACCCTCCAACGATTTACAATTAGGGCTATGAGCCAAAATTTCAAGAACAAGCTTCGAAGGATCAATGGTGAAGAAGGAGAAGATTTTTACAAAGTGCGACATGTGTCCTACCTCGACATTCGGTAAATTTCTCAATTCTGCCTGGATAATCCTTTCTTTCACAAGAGACGAAACAAGTGTTGGGTCTCTTATCATTTCTTTCACATCCCCCTCATTATATGTTGATATATATATATATATATATATATACAGCAATGCTACAGACCCAGTGGGGTGACTCCTACTCGATTGGGAGAAGAAGAAGAAGAAGAAGAATAGGAATGGAAGAAGAAAATACTGGAAGGTAGAGTTGGAATTTGCGGTACTTAATTTTATTTTGTTAGTTGTGTTATTGGATTTGATTTATTTTGATTGTATTTAAACTTGAGTCAGACTTCACTATACTATTCACAACAGTTGGCTTGTATTAAACAATATTTATTTTATGTTTGTGTTAAATTTAAATATTAAAGACTTGTTTATTTTAATTTTTTATTATTGATTGATTCATTTTTTTGGATTGGATTGATTTGGTTCAAGTGCATGATTCATTTAAATATGTTCTAAATTTAATATCAAATCAAACCAAACTGACCAAATCACACCCCTTTATTGGTTCATATCTATAAAAAAAATAAAAAAATAAAAAAATAAAAAAAATTAATAGAAGACCAGAGTAATAAAAGTTGAGATTTTTTTTTATAATAGATCCCTTATAATAAGATTTTTTATAAGAAAACAAACAAGCCCATAAGTTTTATTGTGAGGAGGACAACATGTGCAACAAACACAACCCAATTAGTGAATAGCTAATTTTATTATTTAAACATTTAGATACTAACTTTTAATTTAAATTTTTATTTTTTTAAAGTAATTTTTGGAATACTCTCATCGAAATCCATTCAGTAAGAGTTGGTATTGAATATGCAATATTGAAGAAGATGTGATTTATTTTTGAACAATGAAATTTTTATTATCTATAAATAGAGAAATTTTAAATTAAAAACTAAAAATCCAAAATTAAGTGCTACAAAATGAAAAACCATATTTCATTGTTTGTAGATTAGAAAGAAATTTCACTATCTATTGACATCAAATAAAAAATTTTAAACTAGAGGAATAAAATGCAAAATTAGTATTGGTTGCTAAAAAGATTGCGATAAAAAGAGGCATCACGCTCACCTATCAAGTAGAAACTTTTGTTATGTATGGTGTTTTTCTCTTTTCTGTTTTATTTCCTCCTATGCTCATTAATTTGTTTTTTACAAGCAATAAATATAAATGACGGACAAATATTATATATATATATATATATATTAGCAGTCTGCACATGCGATGCGTGTGCAACTTGAAAAAAATAATATTATAAGAATAATAATAAAAAAGAATACACATGTGTTGCTCAAGCCGTAAGAACATTTATTATTAAATCCATGGTCATGAGTTTGAGACTTGTCCTCCTTTTTGTATAATTTTTACAAAAACTACAAATATAGGAGTATTTTGAAAAAACTCAAAATATGAGACAAAAATGTCAACACCACCAACAGCCTTCCTTTTATATATTAAAATAGATAGATACATATTAGATAGCCATAAAGACTTGATAAAAATCCGATATCCACGTTGTTATGTACATACATCTGTGTGTATATAGAGAGTATCATAAAAGAACTGAACAAATTTTTTATATTTTTTTAAATTACCAATCAATGCACATGCAACGCATATGCCATTGGACTCTTCTAACAGATAAATCAACACTCAATTGAACTTAGGCTTCGTTTGGGAACAGGCTAATTTAGTAACTTTTTAGCTATTTGGCTAAAAAAATAGGTAAAAAAAACTTGTATGTTTGAGATAACTTTTTGACTAATTACGAAAAGATATGCAAAAAGTAGAGAGAAAAGAGAATCTTTGACTTTTTGGTATGGGTTATTTGCTTTTTGACTAATTTAATAACTTTTTGACTAATTGGCTAAAATAGCCTCTTACCAAACGAGGCCTTAGTAAATCGAAATTTCAAATGTAAAAACAATTTGTTACGTTTGAACATCTTGATTAGGAGGTCCTTGTTTCACATCATGAAAGGAGAATATTTATTTTTTTACACTCCGTTTGAATCGTAGACTTGAGTAGGTATTTAGAAAAGACAATGAAGAATTCGGTGTGAAGTGTAAATGAAATATAGCTACACTTCCCATATTTTCACCCAACCTTTCTCTCTTTCCATATAATTACGTTTCACTTATTTTCACTCACCTTTCTCTCTCTCCCTTTTCAATTCCTTAATCCAAACACAACCTTAATATTTTAACAAGACTCAATGGAGACACCCATGTCCAACCCTTCCTACTTAGAAACCTTTGGGGGCTAGATATCATCTTGCCAAATCTCAAGGAAGAATATGAAATTAACCTCTCAAGACTCCGTTAAGTTTGAACAATATATTAATCTAAACTTGTTGAAAATTTTCTTTTATGGGAATTAACCTTCTAAAATATTACATATCTCCTGAATCTTCATGAGAATTTTTCACTAAAATTTTACAACTTAGTGATACAATCACAAATGTGCTTCCTTTTCCAAATAAGAAAGGTAAAGCAGCTCCTGAAGGTAACACAATTGCAAGTAAATCAAAAATTATCCCAAAGTTATGATTCAGTCACACATTGAGACTAAAACGGACAAACTATCAATTCAAACAGGTTCCCAAAATTCATGGTATAATTTCTAAATGATCAATGTATATATGTTGGGCAGCCATTTGCTGGTTACTTGTTACACCTGTGAGCAAATCAGTATAATCACAATGGAGATAAAACTATGATCTTTACTTTGAGAACCCCATGTGCTTAATTTGCTTAATGTCAAACCTTGATTCATTTGAACACCATCTATTACTCGGAGTCAGAATCTGATAGTGGCATCTGGTAAGCATCGATTGGTTCTGTGTCAGTGATGGAAGGAGGACGATCTTGGTTTGACACCGCTCTCTTCTTGCGTCTCTGATTTGGTCTAACTTCATCATCCTGGAAATTTTCATATGGTGATTAAGCAAACATATAGAAAGCAGAGGGGGAAAAAATGCATAAAACAAATATTGTTTAACGTACAAAATGCTTATCCAAGTCCCACTGCAGTGAATTGGGCAGTTATGTATGCATAGCAAAATTAAGATCACTGATGTTTATGTTGGCTAGTTGTAATTATGTATTAAAATAGGAATTAATATTGGAGATTGATGTCAAACTGTAAATTGTGTTTACTAGGTACAAATAAAAAGTCGAGAATAAATTTGAGCTGTTTTTCTTTCGTTTCTATGAGATTTGTATATTTGAGGGGTTCTATTTCAGTTGAGTGTGAGGTTCTTCCCCAATGGGTGTGAGTTTCTTCCTCAATGGAAGTGAGTTTCTTACAGGTTTCTTCCTTGGGAGTGGAGAATTCGCATTTCTAAGTAAGAAACGTCAACCAAGAAGGAATTTTTTGCTACTAAGAGTGAAAAGCTCGATAACTTAAGCTAAAAACGCCGATTTACCTTTGATGAGGGCAAGCTTCCATCTCTACAATGAAATTTTTTGACACGTTAAGGAGAAAAGTATTTACATCAAATTTAATTTTTAATATTTTGTTACTATTTTAATATAAAATTCAAAATTCTAATGCTTCAACGCCTTGAGGCTTCCGCCTCTCTCCTCACGAGGGAATATGTCTCATGTTACGCATTTGCTTTTAAAAACTTTGGAACAATCATACAAGAATGATTCGTGGTGAGGGAGAGATAAAAATCCTTCTTTATGTTTTTTTTAGTGTCTTTCTTAGTGTCTGAGTTTGGGGTGGGGTGTTGCTTTTTCAATGAGAATTACAAGTCTACAAATTGCAAAGCTGGAAAATGTGAATTGTTGAATAAGAAGATTCAGAGATATGCTCAAAGCTATCACTAAGTACAATAATCTGTTAGGGGCAGAAATAAATTAACAATGAATAGGCAATAACATGGCCGTCAAGAAAATAAAATAAAATAAAATAACAAAAAAAAACAAAAAAGGCTGCTACCCACATGGTATATGAGACTGCATTTGAACTAAACGAAGGGAAACTTCGAAGAATATGTTGGGAATGGGATTTATACCACATCCCACCAATGTGAACGGAAGCACACAATGCACACACCAAAGAGAAAAATAATTAGACACAGATTTTTGTGGTTCGGCACCAATTGCCAACATCCATGGGAGAGAGATTCAACTATGAATAAAAAATACATGTGAGATAGTCAACACGCTCAAAACCCATATCACTACTAGAACCCCATACTCAAGAGTAGTTGAGCCATTGATCACTCTAGTGCCTTCACGGTGTTTTTTGTCACCCCATACATCGCTATTTTATCCTTCTCTTAATCTCACCAAAACATAGTCTCCATGACTATTTATAATAGTCTATCCACAAAAAACCTAGTTTCATAAAATTAGGTAACTGAAACCTACACATTGGGTTTCCCTATAGATTTCGGACTCTACTATCCTAACGCCAATACATGCTTAAACTAACCTAACAAATGTATGAGACCCACATATATCACATTGGTGGACTAGTCTTAACAGAATATTAATAGAAGTTACTAAATTAATCAAGTAAAATATTATGCAGCCAAGACACCGCGCATATAAAAAATAATTAGAAGGAAAATATTGATGCTAAAAAGTAGATAAGGGAAATAAAAGAAAGGACTAATCATGAGTCAGAAAAATATCAATGAAATCACATTGGATTGGAGATGAAGATAATAGCTGGAAAAAAAAAACAAAAGACTAACAATGCTCCCAGGAGCACAATATGCCATGACTTACTTTTTTGCTCGGTTGAGTTTGATTATTTGATTGACTTGGATGAGTTGATTGGCTCCTTCGCAACCAGATGCTACCGAAAGACATCAATGCTCCCAACAGCAAGACTGGGCCAATCCTTGGATCTCCTAGGCGATTGTGGATTCCATTCATGATGCTACCAATTCTCTGTTTCATTCCTGTCCCTTTGGATAGAATATTTTTGGCACCTACTGACCAAATAGGATCTGCATCTTCGGGAACAAGTGCAGGAGTTTTTGCTCTCTGCAATGAGACAAATAGAAAAGGTTTGAGCAGGCAACATCTTGTATGAAAGAGATGCAACTCTAAGCTCCAGAGTGTATACATCCTTAAAAAAACCACAAAGTTCAATGAGTATCAATCCAAGAAGCACGGACACTTCTAAGAACGTAACATGCCGTGTCTGACACTCATCGGATACCTATGTAGCAAGGGTGCGGGTATGGATACTTGTACGGGTACGCTGATACGGCTAAAACCTAAAAAAATAGGATATGGGGTACAGCTGTGGTACATCAACAAATTTTTTTATTTTTCATAGTTTATTGTTTGAGATTCAACCTACCAATCAAAGTTCAATACCAAAACTAAAAGGAAAATTACAAAACCAAAAGAGAAATCACAGTTCAACAATACTAATATCAAAGCAAAGTCCATATGCTATTTTAATGCCATTAGATAGGAGAAATTACAAAACAAAGTTTCATTCCAAAAGCCAACTAAGAAAAATTTGGAAACTTTAAACATCAATTTTCACTTTCATCAACTTTATCATTGAATAGCACATCTTTCATCTTTGACATTTCAAGTAAAAGATTTGCAATTTCAAGTAAATCATAACTCACTAATAAATTAAATGTATCACCACCAATTTTCCATAGCTTGGTGTACTCCTGATGTACCCATCATGTACCTACAAAGTACCCACCTGCCAAAAAATGTATAAAAAGTACCTGGTACGTATTTCAAGTACCCGATACGCATGCAATCCTAACGGTACACGTACCAATACCCTGTAAGTACCCGATATGAGTATGGTAATATTTTCGGAGTACCTGTGCTTCATAGCCGGACACTTTCCAACACTTAGACATACATGAAACATATTACGAGTTTGAATAAATAACTTAGAATCCAATGATACAACAAAAATTAAATAAATTTATACCTATTCTCTTCCTTTATACTTCTAAAATGAATATATTATACTTAAAAATTTATATATATGACATAATAATTATTTATCCTTATATATGACATATATTTGATAAATACATAAATAAATTATATATTTTGCAGAAGTCCCCAACGTACATTTTTTGAAAATTTACATGTCGGTGTGTCAATGTCATGTCACATGTTCGTGCTTCTTAGGTATCAATAATGAAGTGAAGGTAATTAAACCCCTCAGCAAAATACACAAATTCATCCATTCAAGCACCAAAAGAAAGCTTAATTCTAAAAAAAGTTTGTCTATGTTAAACTTACAAAAAAGGGGAGCTCCCTAGAGTCACCATCTTCGATTATTTGAGAGATCCACTTGATGATCTACCAACCAAATAAAAAAGAAACAACTCAATGTGAAAAGGTGCACTAAAGCACAAAGAATGTTGCATTTGCGTTAACTGCTCAATTCAGAGTGAAATATATCTCAATAATTAAAACATGTAGTAAAATGCATCTCACAACAGATAGAAGGCCAAACCTCTAAACTTTCTTCGGAACCATTGTACCTCGCAACAAGTTGTGATGCAGGATCCACATCATCATTCAGAAATGCCTCCAACATGTTTTTTGGCTTTTTTTCCTCATTTTTAATACTATCTTCTGTAGCATTCCTTTTGTAACGTACAATAATTAACTGTGGTACATCTGTTATATCCCTCCTAGGTCCACATGTTTCATAGCTGTTCTCCATTTGAGTGTGGAAAAAACAATATCGCTGGAGAAGAAGAGAAATTTAGTGACTAATACAGTTGCAAAAGATCATTTGTTAAATGTTCGAGTGTAGAATAGTCCATCATGATCATTATTAATTAAAATATTATAATCCATAATTAGTAAGCACACATACTTCTACATAAAACAAATAAATAAATAAATAAAAAAAAACCCTACAAATGGTGCTAGGAATAACAGTGGAGAGACGGAAAGATCATTCCTTCAACTAAATAAAGCAGAAGCAAACAACCTCTAATCATATGTACAATGCTGCTGCAATGACATCTTACACAATTATTATTGGAGTTTATGAATAATTTTCACCTTTGCAAAATAATACTAAATGCCTCATATACGCAACCTGGTAAACTTAGTTCAATTTTTATTATATAACACCTTCTGTGAGAGGAATCACATTCTGTTTCCTACACTAAATAGCTTGACCTACATAATAGCATTATTTGTATAGCTGGAGAGGAATCACATTCTCTGTACATACGGCTATCACAGAAATTCATTCTATGTACTTCCTACACTCCTTTGTATTTCATTCTTTGAGAAGAATCACATTTCCCTGTACATATAGCTAGATCCACGAAACAGAATCAATCAACAAGAGTACAAAAATTTGTGAAAGATAACCTCCAAAGTTTTTAAAATGACAAGAATCATAATGAAAAACTTTCACCTTCTTTGGTTTAATTTATGAATTGCTTTTGAGTTTTTTTGTTTTTCATTTTTTTTTTTTTTAACTTTTTAAATGCACCTAATCTAGATGGACTTAAAATATAAAATATTCGTAAAAAGATCTGAAATTGTCTTTAACTTTTTTCATCTCTTTTTCAAATGTTTTAGATTTTAAGTGCGTCTAATTTGGCGGATCTAAAAAAAAAACTAAAATATGAAAAAAAAAATCACTAAAGAAACAAAACAATTTTGAGTTTCAAAAGTTGGTTTTGAACTGAAATAGGATAACAATGAATGATGAATACTTTTAATTAGCCATGTCTCACATGGAGAACATAATCTAATACACCAAAACAATTGAGGTGTACATGCTTTGCACTAGACAGGCCATGGCTAAATATGTATATACCAAAGCTTTTAAATGTGACTGCGTAAGTCTCAAGGCATCAACACATAAGCATTTCAAATTTCAAATTTTTATATTTAGTGAGAAAAAATTATTTAAAATTAAATTAAAAAACAACGCCCAATTAGTACACATTAATTTTAATTTTATTTAAAATTAAATATAAATGCATAAATACTTTTCTCAAGGCGTTGAACATTTCATTACAGAATAGGAAACTTGCCCTTATCGAAGATGTGTTAGAATAAGAAAGAATGTTCATTATATTGTATTCTTTCTATATTTATTTTTCCATTTATTGATGTAATGGGCTGGCCCATAATTTATGCCTTATGGCACTCTTGTAATTACTCAGCATTATCAATATAAAAGGGAATGCCGTCTAACCTATTCCCTATCACTTTCTCTTCTCTAAAAATCTTCATGGTATCAGAGCCAAACAGGCCCTAGCCATTCTCTTCTACCACTCTGGTAGCCTCTCTCTTCTCCGGGAGCCACCGAGCCACCGAAACCTAGCACCCAGCCTCTCTTACTCACCCAGGTCTCCCAAAACCCTCGACCCAGGTCTCAGCAAACCCCCTCTTGTCTTCCAGAGGTTTGTCGAGAGCCCTACCTGGCTCTTTAGGCTGTGTCGCAGGGTCCTCTTGGCTCCAGGGGTCTTGTCGGCACCCTTCCAGGGCTCTTCACCTTCAACGACAGTCCCTCTGGCTGTCTAGCTCTTCTACGACCGTCCCCTGGTCTTCTGTCTCTATCGGCCAGTCTCTGGGTCTGCTCGTTCTATGTTTTAAACTCTCTGTTTTCTGTTTTAACCTATAAAAAAAAAAAAACGCAGTGACAAAAAACAAAAAAAAAATGATGAGTTCTTAATTATTCTTTATGCTGTCACAGTGGTAGTTGTGTCTTTCCTTCCACTTTTATCTTCCAGGTTTGTGAATGGCCTTGTTTTTTTTTTTTTTTTTGAGAGTTAAATAGTAGAGTATCCATGGCAGATTCCCTTAGTGAATCCACTACTACTCAGCCACCTCAGGGCGAGAGTTCCATTATATCTCCTAGTATGACTGATAACCTCAACCCTGGCCTCAAAATCACCACATCTCTATTCAATGGTCAGAACTATCTAGCGTAGTCGCAAAGTTTGACTATTTTTTTGAAGAGCAAAGGGAAGATGGGGTATGTTGATAGCAGGATACTGGCACCAACCACCACAGACTCGAGTTATAATCAGTGGGAGATCACCAACTCCCTTATTATGGGTTGGTTGATCCATTCTATGGTTCCAGAGATTGGCGAGGGCTATCTCTCTATGGACACTGCCCAGGATATTTGGGAGGCCATGGCTACCACTTACTCCCGGAAGGGGAACTTCTCCCAAGCTCTCGAGTTACGTCACTCCATTGAAAGGTCGGTACAAGGTGAGATGACTATTCTCCAGTATTTTACCTTTCTTAGTAATGGATGGAAGAGGCCTGATCATCTTCAGTAGTACAAGCCTGTCTATCCCATAGATTCTGCTGGTTATCTGAAGTTTGTGGCACAAGAGCGGATCTTCAAGTTCTTGGAAGGCCTAAATGTGGAGTATGACCCTGTTCGGAGCCGTGTCCTTGGCATGGATGTATTTCCTTCTCTCCAAGAAGCCTTTGCTTTAGTGCAGAATGAAGAGAGTCGCCGCTCTGCGATGCTTCCTTTTACCACCACTGATCGCTCTGCTTTGGTTTCTGCACCTTCCCGCACTAGCGAGCGTGTCCCCCATGGTTCTCATCTTTCTTCTGAGAAGGATAATCTTTTCTGTGAGTACTATCGTCGCCCTCGACATACCCAAGAGACTTGTTGGAAGCTGCATGGGACTCCTGGTGGTCGCAGAGACCGTCCTGGTACTTGCGAGGGTAGATCTGGCCCGTCTAGAGGCCGAAGGGCCAATGCTCGAGCTCATCTTTCAGACACGGTTGAGCCACCACCTTCATCTCCCGTTGTCTCACTGGCTACTGATGTTTCGGGATTATATGCCTCGGATTTTTATATCGCTCTTCGCCACTTGCTAGACCGTCGTTCTTCCACTTCTGCCACAGGAGCACCCTCTTCTTCCTTTGCCAACTCAGGTAACTTGGCTTCCTCTCCATATGCATTGCTATCTCATACCACTGTGCCCTAGATAATTGATTCTGGTGCTTCTAAGCATATGTCTGGTTCCTCTCATTTATTCTCCGAATATAACCCCTGTTCACGTCAAGAAAAAGTACGTATTGCTGATGGTACTATGTCGTCTGTATCTAGGAAAGGTTTAATTCATGTCACACCTTCCCTTCCTTTATCCCCTGTTCTCCATGTTCCTAATTTTAGTGTTAATCTTTTATCTTTGAGTCGTATTACTCGTGATTTGAATTGTAGCGTGACGTTTTTTCCTGATCGTTATCTTTTCCAAGACCTTATCACGAGGAAGAAGATTGGCAGTCCTTTGCCAACTCAGGTAATTTGGCTTCCTCTCCATATGCATTGCTATCTCATACCACTGTGTCCTGGATAATTGATTCTGGTGCTTCTAACCATATGTCTGGTTCCTCTCATTTATTCTCCAAATATAACCCCTGTTCAAGTCAAGAAAAAGTACGTATTGCTGATGGTACTATGTCGTCTGTATCTAGGAAAGGTTTAATTCATGTCACACCTTCCCTTCCTTTATCCCCTGTTCTCCATGTTCCTAATTTTAGTGTTAATCTTTTATCTTTGAGTCGTATTACTCGTGATTTGAATTGTAGCGTGACGTTTTTTTCCTGATCGTTATCTCTTCCAGGACCTTATCACGAGGAAGGAGATTGGCAGTGGTAGAGCGAAACATGGTCTCTAAATTCTCGACCAAACAGGCAGGCTGGCTCACTCCTCTATTCAGTTACCATCCACCAAGGAAGACCTCTGGCTGTGGCATCGTCGTTTAGGACATCCCTCTTTTTTACTACTTAAGCATTTATTTCCTTTTGGGTTTGAGAATAATAGTGTGTCTGATTTTCAATGTGAGTCTTGTCAACTTAGGAAACAACACCGAGCTTCTTTTGCTCCCTCTATTAATAAAAGTTCAATTCCATTTACTTTGATTCATTCTAATGTCTGGGGTCCCTCACGTTTTATGTCTTTAAAAGGTCAAAAATGATTTGTTACTTTCATCGATGACTGTTCTAGGGCCACCTGGGTCTATCTGCTGAAAGATAAAAGTGGCGTGTTTTCTATGTTTTAAACCTTCCATAAAATGATTTGCACTCAGTTTGGGACGGTTGTCAAAATTTTGCGTTCTGATAATAGGGGAGAATATCTCGACTCTGGTCTTGCCAGTTATTTTGTTACTCCTGGCATTATTCATCAAACTTCCTACACCAATACCCCTCAACAAAATGGGGTTGCCGAAAGGAAATATCGTCATCACCTTGATGTGGCCCGTTGTCTATCCTTTGAAATGCGTGTTCATAGATCTTATTGGGGAGAGGCAGTTCTCACTGCCGCTTATTTGATTAATTGTCTTCCTACCCAAGTCCTTCACAAGCAAACACCTCCAAGTTCTGTTCGGGTCCACCTCTTCTGGGTTCTCCCTTGCCCCTAAGACCTTTGGTTGTGTTTGTTTCGTCCATAATCATTCCCCTACTCGTGGTAAATTGGATCCTCGGTCTCTTCGGTGTGTTTTTCTAGGTTACTCTGCCACACAAAAGGGTTATAAGTGTTATAATCCTCCCACTCGCAAATGGTTTGTCTCCATAGACGTCACTTTTTTCGAGTCTCAGTCTTACTTTCTCCCCTCTCCAATGTCCCAGTCATCCCTTTAAGGGGCGCCTTGGTGTGTAGAGTTTCATGTTCCACCTCCGCCAGTGGTTGCACAGATAGAGGATGATAAGCCCGTAGCTGTTGTTGATGGAGGCAAAGTTTATGTCAGGGACAAGGACAAACAAGAAGTCACCTGGATACAGGAACCTATTTTCCCTCCTCTCCTGCCAACTGCTTCCTCGAATGAGTGTCCAGAGTCACCCCCCTCTCCTGAGAGTCTAGGTAATTCTGATCCTAGTGCTCTCATTCCTAAGCTTTCAGATCTTGATGTTCTCATTGCTAATAGAAAGGGGGTTAGGTCATGTACTCAGCATCCCATTACAAATCATGTCTCTTATTCTAATCTGTCTCCCTCATATAAAGCCTTTTTGTCTAAGATTTCTTCTGTGAGTCTGCCTCACAGTTTTTAAGAGGCAATCACTATTCCTGAATGGAAACATGCCATAATGGAAGAGATGAGAGCTCTCAGCAAGAATGGCACTTGAGAGTTAGTGAAGTTACCTAGAGGCAAAAATCCAGTTGGATGTAAGTGGGTTGTACACTGTAAAACACAAAGTAGATGGTTCCATAGAATGGTACAAAGCAAGACTAGTTGCTAAGGATTTTACTCAGACTTATGGGGTAGATTACCAAGAGACATTTGCACCGACTGCTAAGATGAACTCTGTAAGAATTCTACTCTCTCTTGCTGCAAATCTGAATTGGCTACTTCATCAGTTTGATGTGAAGAATGTCTTCCTTCATAGAAACCTAAAAGAAGAGGTTTATACGGATATTCCTCCTGATTTTAAGGATGCTAGGTCCAAAGGTAAAGTGTGCAGGCTCTGAAAGTCACTCTATGGGCTAAAGCAATCCCCTAGAACTTGGTTTGAAAGGTTTGCTCAAGCTATGCTGAGATATGGGTTCAAGCAAAGTCAAGCTGATCACACCTTATTTGTGAAACACTCCTCACTTGGTCAGACCACAACTCTTATTGTCTATGTTGATGATATTGTTTTGACAGGAGATGATGTTGAGGAGATTCCTTGGTTGAAGGAATACTTAGCCAAGGAGTTTGAAATCAAAGACTTAGGCAATTTGAAATATTTTTGGAGCATTGAAGTAGCTCAGTCTAAGGATGGCATCTTCATATACCAGCGGAAGTATGTACTCGACTTACAGAAGGAAACTGGAATGCTTGGAGGTAGACCATGTGATACACCTCTAGAACCAGGTCAGAAACTAAGTGAGGATCAAGGGGGAGATCCAGTGGACAAGGAGATATATCAGAGGTTAGTGGATAAGCTCATATACTTATCCCACTCCCGTCCAGACATTACCATTGCAGTGAGCATGGTTTGCCAGTTTATGCATGCTCCCAGAAATTCCCACTTAGGCAATTATGAGAATCCTGAGATACTTGAAGGCTTCTCCTGGAAAGGCTGTTTCTCAAAACATGGACATCTCAGTGTGGAGGCATTCACTGATGCGGATTGGGCTGGATCCGTTACTGACAAACAATCAACTTCTGAATATTGCACATTTGTTGGAGGCAACCTAATCACGTGGTGAAGTAAGAAACAGAACGTGGTTGCTCGATCTAGTGCTGAGGCAGAATTCAAGGCTATGGCTCAAGGTGTATGTGAGTTGCTATAGATTAGACTATTATTGGGAGACTTGGGGATCCATAAGACTGATTCCACGAGATTGTACTGTGACAACAAAGCCGGAATCAACATAGCTCATAATCCAGTTCAACATGACAAAACTAAGAGTGAGGAGATTGATAGGCACTTCATCAAGGAAAAACTCACTAGTGGCACCATATATATTCCATTTGTGAAGACTGGAGACCAACTGGCAGATGTTCTCACCAAGGGCATAGCAAGCAAATCATTTCATGACATTCTCACCAAGCTGGGAATGAGAAATATCTTCGCACCAGCTTGAGTGAGAGTGTTAGAATAGGAAAGAATATTCGTTATATTGTATTCTTTCTATATTTATTTTTCCCTTTATTGATGTAATGGGCTGGCCCATAATTTATGCCTTCCGGCACTCATGTAATTACTCAGTATTATCAATATAAAAGGGAATGCGGTCTAACCTATTCTCTATCGCTTTCTCTTCTCTAAAAATCTTCAAGATGAACCTGACATTCTTAGTTTCAGTTATTGAACTCCTCACTTGAGTCTTTGCCTTATATTTTTTCTTGGTTTTTTCCATGGAATATGATGGTTACAAAAGAGGTTCTTATTTTTTATGTTTAAATTTAAACTACGTATTAGACCATCAAAAAAAATAAAATAAAACTATGTATTATAATAAGCTTAACAACAACCCAAGTCAAGCTCTCCATACACGTACTGTTACATGGGACTCAGGTATGAGTATCGGGTGCGGATGAGTATCCAAGCGTCAGACCTTCATAAATTTAAATCTTGGGACATGTATCCAAAATTGAATATGAGTACTGGGACACGTCATATGCACATATATTATATTTTATATAATATTCTCGGATGAGATGATGTAAATTCTGTAAAAATATACTAGAAATTAAATAAGACATAGGAAAATGTTGAAACTTCTATATATAATTCATGTGAGAGGCTAAAAATATTACTTTACCAATAAATGTAAGTTTCTTCTTATTTTTCATGTATTGTTACAAATTAAAGGATCTGAGGCCCCGTTTGTTTTCAGAGGTAGAATGGAGGGGATTCATAGTGAGGGGATTAATAGTAAGTGGATTGTTAGTAAGGGGATTAATAGTGGGGGGATTAAGTAAAATTGTGTTTGTTTTGATGATAGTTGTTAGTGTAAGAATTATTAAATTATTTTTATATAAAATAATAAAACAAATAAAAAAATGTAAAAAATTAAACATTAATGTTTAAAAAAAATTCCCAATATGTAAAAAAATAAAAAAATTTCTAATCCTCTCACTATTTTTCTAATACCACCTCCACCTCCTCTATCCCAATCCCCTTTCCAACCTCCATCTTAATCCCCTCCTCCATCCTAATCCCCTCCCCAGCTCCACAAACAAACACAACACTAAATAACCCCACCTCCATCCTAATCCCCTCCCATCTATTACACCCCAAAACAAACGGGGCCTGAGTGCCTAAATTAGGTACGAGTGTCGGACACATATCCCACACCCTTACCCATGTCCTATCTGGTGGACACGGGTACTATGGGGGAAATAGAAGAGTCCATGTAACACAATTCCTCATATTTATGTGCAAAAGGAGTACAAGGTGCACATGAGTTGCACGCCTCAAACTATGATGTGCAAGTCTTTGGAGAGTTTCACCGAAAAATAAAAAAGACTCAATGCATTCTACCTTAGCCTCACCTCGAAGCGAGCCTCAATACATCTTTTAAATACAAAATATATTTGTATAAACATGACATTGTAGGATTTGTGGCTCAAATCGTACATTAACTTTCTGAGATTAATAACACATATTTTGAAAGATTATTAGTAAGTACTTGGAAAGGAAAAAAAAAACTAAAGAAAGGAAAAGAACAGCCATAAAAATGAGAATTACATCCTAAAATTTCAATCAGTGACAGGCCTCTATAATCTTCTCAAAAAACCATATTCAGATGTCAAAAGGTTTATGAATGCAATCAGATTCTTGGACTTTTCCAAAAGTTTCAGGTAGAAATTCTCAGCTGCTTACAGCACGAGAGTAGAGCGCATAAGGAAGTTGTGACGATGTTTTTTGATACCCTGCATTTTCAGGGCCAAAGGTCACATGTGGTTTTAGTATTTAATGTTTCAGAATTTATCCTGCTATTAGATTGAATGATTTGTAATGTAGATAATTTCACATCATTTTATGGCAGTATAACACTGTCAGAATTTATAACAGCAATAATCACTGACCACCTTTTCCAACTTAGGCCACCATTTAGATTAAGATACTGGCACTTTGGCAAAAATCTTCCAATACCAATAGTGATCCCAACTAAGTTCAACAAAGAGATTAAAATTTCAGAATAAATTGCTACCTACCAAGTACCATACAGCATCACATACATGACCCTCAAATTAATTAATCCATTCACTACTACAAATGTGAATTGAACTAGAACTAAACTTGGAAAACATTGACATGCCAGACAAACAAAAGGCGACACTTACTTGCTGTGCTTCCCCATCAAGCCAGCTAAATGTCAACCGCTTTTCCTTCAGTGCAACAGCCGCTAGCGACGATGGCTGATCTTTATCAACTGTGGACAGTGCTTCTTGGATCCTGCGCACAGTCTTTATCATAGTAATGTACTCCATTTAGTAAACTAGAAGAATATAATAGCATTTGGGCATGCATACATGAATCTTTCTGTTGTATTCAATGTCAAATTTTGAATGAGTGCACTTGTAAAAATAGATGTATTATTGATTGTTGAATTGATTGATTTCTTGATTCATGTGTTATTGTGTGATTTACAAATGTTGAGATGCTGTTTATATAGGATATGATTTGGGAGTAGGTGAAGGTGGTAGTGGAGGTGGTAGGTGAAGTGTAGTGGAGGTGGTAGGTGGATGTGAATTATGGTAAATTCTAACAGCCCCCCGCAAACTCAAGGAGGATAGAAACTAACCAACTTGAGTTTGGAGAGAGTAACAAAACAAGAAAATACATAAAAATAAAAAAGGATAGGAGACACTGTATGGTCGTGTCAGACCGTTGGTGAAGACACTGTATGGGGTGTCATAACGTTGTAGAGGACACTGTATGGTGGTGTCAGACCGATGTAGAAGACAGTTTATGGGGTCATGTCGGACCATTGTAGAAGACAGTTTATGGGGTCATGGCGGACCGTTGTAGAAGACAGTTTATGGGGTCATGTCGGACCGTGGTAGAAGACAGTTTATGGGGTCATGGATTGGATCCTCGGTCTCTTCGGTGTGTTTTTCTAGGTTACTCTGCCACACAAAAGGGTTATAAGTGTTATGATCCTCCCACTCGCAAATGGTTTGTCTCCATAGACGTCACTTTTTTCGAGTCTCAGTCTTACTTTCTCCCCTCTCCAATGTCCCAGTCATCCCTTTAAGGGGCGCCTTGGTGTGTAGAGTTTCATGTTCCACCTCCGCCAGTGGTTGCACAGATAGAGGATGATAAGCCCGTAGCTGTTGTTGATGGAGGCAAAGTTTATGTCAGGGACAAGGACAAACAAGAAGTCACCTGGATACAGGAACCTATTTTCCCTCCTCTCCTGCCAACTGCTTCCTCGAATGAGTGTCCAGAGTCACCCCCCTCTCCTGAGAGTCTAGGTAATTCTGATCCTAGTGCTCTCATTCCTAAGCTTTCAGATCTTGATGTTCTCATTGCTAATAGAAAGGGGGTTAGGTCATGTACTCAACATCCTATTACAAATCATGTCTCTTATTCTAATCTGTCTCCCTCATATAAAGCCTTTTTGTCTAAGATTTCTTCTGAGTCTGCCTCACAGTTTTAAGAGACAATCACTATTCCTGAATGGAAACATGCCATAATAGAAGGGATGAGAGCTCTCAGCAAGAATGGCACTTGAGAGTTAGTGAAGTTACCTAGAGGCAAAAATCCAGTTGGATGTAAGTGGGGTGTACACTGTAAAACACAAAGTAGATGGTTCCATAGAATGGTACAAAGCAAGACTAGTTGCTAAGGGTTTTACTCAGACTTATGGGGTAGATTACCAAGAGACATTTGCACCGGCTGCTAAGATGAACTCTGTAAGAATTCTACTCTCTCTTGCTGCAAATCTGAATTGGCTACTTCATCAGTTTGATGTGAAGAATGCCTTCCTTCATAGAAACCTAAAAGAAGAGGTTTATATGGATATTCCTCCTGATTTTAAGGATGCTAGGTCCAAAGGTAAAGTGTGCAGGCTCTGAAAGCCACTCTATGGGCTAAAGCAATCCCCTAGAACTTCGTTTGAAAGGTTTGCTCAAACTATGCTGAGATATGGGTTCAAGCAAAGTCAAGTTGATCACACCTTATTTGTGAAACACTCCTCACTTGGTAAGACCACAACTCTTATTGTCTATGTTGATGATATTGTTTTGACAGGAGATGATGTTGAGGAGATTCCTTGGTTGAAGGAATACTTAGCCAAGGAGTTTGAAATCAAAGACTTAGGCAATTTGAAATATTTTTGGGCATTGAGGTAGCTCGGTCCAAGGATGGCATCTTCATATGCCAGAGGAAGCATGTACTTGACTTGCTCAAGGAAACTGGCATGCTTGGAGGTAGACCATGTGATACACCTCTAGAACCAGGTCAGAAACTAAGTGAGGATCAAGGGGGAGATCCAGTGGACAAGGAGATATATCAGAGGTTAGTGGGTAAGCTCATATATTTATCTCATTCCCGTCCAGACATTGCCATTGCAGTGAGCATGGTTTGCCAGTTTATGCATGCTCCCAGAAATTCCCACTTAGGCAATTATGAGAATCCTGAGATACTTGAAGGCTTCTCCTGGAAAGGCTGTTTCTCAAAACATGGACATCTCAGTGTGGAGGCATTCACTGATGCGGATTGGGCTGGATCCGTTACTGACAAACAATCAACTTCTGAATATTGCACATTTGTTGGAGGTAACCTAATCCCTTGGTGAAGTAAGAAACAGAACGTGGTTGCTCGATCTAGTGCTGAGGCAGAATTCAAGGCTATGGCTCAAGGTGTATGTGAGTTGCTATAGATTAGACTATTATTGGGAGACTTGGGGATCCATAAGACCGATTCCACGAGATTGTACTGTGACAACAAAGCCCCAATCAACATAGCTCATAATCCAGTTCAACATGACAAGACTAAGCGTGTGGAGATTGATAGGCACTTTATCAAGGAAAAACTCACTAGTGGCACCATATGTATTCCATTTGTGAAGACTGGAGACCAACTGGCAGATGTTCTCACGAAGGACATAGCAAGCAAACCATTTCATGACATTCTCACCAAGCTGGGCATGAGAAATATCTTCGCACCAGCTTGAGGGAGAGTGTTAGAATAGGAAAGAATATTCGTTATATTGTATTCTTTCTATATTTATTTTTTCCTTATTGATGTAATGGGCTGGCCCATAATTTATGCCTTCCGGCACTCATGTAATTACTCAGTATTATCAATATAAAAGGGAATGCGGTCTAACCTATTCTCTATCACTTTCTCTTCTCTAAAAATCTTCAAGATGAACCTGACATTCTTAGTTTCAGTTATTGAACTTCTTACTTGAGTCTTTGCTTTATATTTTTTCTTGGTTTTTTCCCTGGAATATGATGGTTACAAAAGAGGTTCTTATTTTTTATGTTTAAATTTAAACTACGTATTAGACCATCAAAAAAAATAAAATAAAACTATGTATTATAATAAGCTTAACAACAACCCAAGTCAAGCTCTCCATATACGTACTGTTACATGGGACTCAGGTATGAGTATCGGGTGCGGATGAGTATCCAAGCGTCAGACCTTCATAAATTTAAATCTTGGGATACGTATCCAAAATTAGATATGAGTATTGGTGTCACGACCCCAAACCGCCCCTAGTAGTTTGGTGCCGTGATGGCCAGTAATCCAAGATTACCGGAGGCCAACTTTCAAAATTTTAACACAATCAGAGTATAATAAACGGGGCTCACAAATGCGGAAGCGATAAATCAAATACAAGTGGTCCATAAGAGCAGTGCATAAGTCCAATGATATGGCATACATCTTTACAACTTGAATATAACAAAGCAAAATACGTATTACATTTTGATCAAAAGGCTTCTCGAGCCGACATATACAAAATACAGTGAATACAAGCCAAGAAGCATGATTTTCAAGATTTCGCCGACATGCAAAACAGGGCATCGCCGACGTAAATACAAAGTAAGGCCGACAAATACACGAATCCAAAACAAGTATCCCAACGAACTAGGCGTCGCCGCCGTCCTGCTCATCACCTACATATATATAGAGGGGTGAGTACAAAACTCAGTGAATGGTACTAAAAATAAAGGTTTTACATGAATAAAGCCGAGGTCCTTCAAAACGAAACACACCAAAACTTTAGCAAGGCAAGTGATGAACCGTATTCATCGTCAAATATCGTAACATCGGCGAGACAAGGGATGAACCGTATTCATCAACTTATGTTCATTTGTTAAACTTACTCTTTAATATTTTAACTGGTTGTGATAGCAGCAGCATAATCATGTTGAAACTACACCTTCCATGGTTTACATTTTTATTCCTTTTTATGAGTGAACCTATGATATCTATTTTGGTCAAATTCAAATGTATGTTTTTGAAGGTGAAGAAATGTGAATCTAATGCTAATTTACAAATCATTGCCACTAAGCAACCTAAAAATGATGTCTCTTACGTGGTGTATATGGAAAATATAACGGATCATGCAACAAGTACTGAATTGCATCTTGTTAAAAGAAAAGTACTGAGTTGCATATTGTAACAGGAGACAATATGTCAGCAATGCGGTGACAAAGGAGTTGAGGATGCTCTTGTTTACTGTGTCAAGTGTCTGAATTTTGCAGTGCACCGGTAAGTTGCATGAATAGTATTTCATTTCTAGCTCTACTGCCCCTACGCTATTTATTGATTTATTTATTTAATTTTTAATTCTAGAATTGAAAAATGAAAGGTGTAATATTTTCGTATCTGGTTTGTCATTCTGATGGAACTGAAAAAATGAAAGATGGAATATACTCTTTAGTAAAGATGCAAAGCTTATCAAAGTGATTAAATGAAATGGAAATAATGTTTCTTGATGTTCTAAATTTTATTCTGAGTGTTTATAAACAATGAGCTCAACTCACCATGAAACCAAATTTAATATTCCAAATGGATTGAGAATATGCATCGACTCTTCTTTCTTTCTTTTTTTTTTTTTTTCATTTAAAAAAATAAAATAAAAATCTTATAAGCTGTCTTCCCTTTTTCTTCCTATATATTTTCAGCTACTGTTTGCCTACACTGCCAGAAACGTTTGATGAGTTTGTCCATTGGTTTTGTGAGGATTGTGAACCAGAGTCTGTAAAACAATCTCCTCTTGAGAAACCTTGCTCTACCCCATTTGTTGAAAGGAATCATGTAATGTCTGAAGGTGTTCAAGTGACCTACTCTAGAAAGAATTTAAAGCAAAATGATGTTGCTTGCCGTGTGGCCGAGACAGAAGAGCATCTACATCCAAGTAGCCCCTCACAACAGCCTTGTGATGCAAAAACAAAGCTTGATTTGATTGAGCACACTCAGTTGGCTCATGATTCTTCTTCACTGAAAACAAAATTGAAGGTCACGACAGAAAAGGAAAGTACTTGCCCAGTCACTTTAACAGAGGAGAATAGACATCAAAATAGCCCCTCCCAGCAACCTCCCGAGCTGAATAGCAAGCTTGCCTTGACTGACAGTGCTCAGTTGGTCAGTGATTATTCTCTTCCAAAAAAAAAATTGAGGAGGATTAAAAAAGGTTTTACTCGCACGGTGGCTGAGGCAGAGGACCAAAGACAACAAAGTAGCCCCTCCCAGAAGCGTTCTGGGACACAGACTAATCTTGACTCGACTGAGCATGCTCAGTTGGCAGGTGATTGTTCTGCCCTAAAAATTAAATTGAGGAGGAAAAAAAAGGATGTTACGACTTCAGTAGCTGAGCCAGAGGAACAAAACTGTCAAAATAGCCCCTCTCAGGAACCTTTTGAGGCACATTTAGAGCATGCTTTGTGTGTGGGCAGCCCTCCCCTGAATGAGAGTAGGACTATTAGCTCATCTAGTGAGAAACTTGGAAATGATCTGAAACTTGGAAAACGAAGAAGATTGATTTTAGAGGGCAGTGAACTCGGTGAAGAGGCTGAGTCAGTTAGAATTGCTGATTCTCAATTAGTTGTTGCTGATTCTCAACTAGGCGTTGCTGATTCTCAATTAGGTGTTGCTGATTCTCAACTAGTCGTTGCTGATTTGTCAAATGATTTAGAACTCAGTGACTATCTCCTTGCACAACCGATCATTGATCCTATTTGGAGGTGAGAAATTGTACTTTTCTTTGTCTCATATAAATTGTTGAATTTTGACAATTTGTTTGGACACCTTACGTGTGGTATCAACTTGTACAGGGGAAATTTTAGTATTTACAACAAAGATTATGGTTTATTGGATGGAGTTGTAGCCCATTTGTCAAGCAAAGCGTGCCCAAAAGTGTGTGAAGAGGCTAGTCTGTTACCAGCATTGCTTCGTTCAGAGATCCTTCCAAAGACTGATGTCTGGCCAAAGAGTTTCCAGAAATCAGAACCATGTGATGACCATATTGGCCTATATTTCTTCTCTGAAGACAAAAGGTGTTGGTTGCAACACTTTTATGTTGTTTTACTTTCTACTTTTCCCAATTCGAATATATATATATACATTTCCTTTTTTGATATTTTGTGTTTCAGGTATGAAAGCTTGGTGGATGACATGATGCACCAAGAACTTGCCTTGAGAGCCGTTGTCAGAAATGCAGAGCTCTTGGTTTTCCCTTCTACTGAATTGCCACTACTGTACTGGAGTGAGTCCAGATTTCAAATGGTGATAATGAGCATCATTGTATTTGCTGAGTTTAACTATTTGAAATAATTGATTTGCAGAATTCCTTGGCAAATATTATTTGTGGGGAGTGTTTCGGCCAAAGAAAGCATCCTCACCTGATGCAGCAAATCACGATCTTGTGGTTGTAAATAGCAACATCGAATGTGCTTCATATTCAAAATCTGCAAATGGTATGGATACTGAAGAGGAAAGAAACCTCACAAAGACCAAGAAACTGTAGCACGGAGTCCTCTAAGTCCTTTAAGCAAGCAACTGTAGCAGTTCAGGGTGAACTATGAACAAGATGTGGAACTGGAATCTGGAGATTGATAATACATCTGAAGTTCTGAGGTCGATGATAAAATAGGATGTGCTATTAGCTTTTCGGTGTAAACCCTCCTATGGAGCAACACACTAGAAGATCTTGTAGCTGGTAGTAAAGAGGTAAAGATAGTGATTTAGTGAATGACATAGGCAGTTGTGGAGGTTTGAATTGGTTGAGATCCGGCAGGCGGTCAAGGCAAGGTTGCCGCCCGCCGGAAGGCGAAGAACACCAAGATTTTTAACCTTGCTCTGATACCATGTAAAAATAAATGTATTATTGATTGATTGATTACAAGATTGTTGTGTTATTTACAAATGTTGAGATGCTGTTTATATAGGATATGATTTGGGAGTAGGTGAAGGTGGTAGTGGAGGTGGTAGGTGAAGTGTAGTGGAGGTGGTAGGTGGATGTGAATTATGGTAAATTCTAACAGCACTTTCTGTGTCATAACTTCGAATGAACATCATGAATCTTTCCCAACGAAGTAGCTAAATCATTTCTAGGAAATAACTACCAAGTAGGGATTTAATTTAACATAACAAGCAGGGCAAACAAACTCACTGCACGCATTTTGTTGAGTTCTGGGCTTGATCTTCCTGCTAGAATAACACAGTACCAAATCGCCGTTTCATTTCCAGCACGAGAATAGCCGCGGGCATCACAACCCAGCTCCATGGATGTCACACTTCTCAATTGTGGAAGCTCTAAAAATAAGGAACAGAGAATAAACCAATGTATTAGAGTTAGTTTCACAAAATCCAAGAATGTATAATCAGGTTTGTGATATACATAAACCAAACCAAGCCTTGAGTCCTATCAAATGGGGTCGGCTACAAGAATCCTTCTTCTCCACGCGGCCCTATCAAAGGCCATTTTGTTAGTCAAATTAAGTAGATCCATATCTCTATTTACAACGCTAACCAACGTTAATCTAGGCCTACCTCATCCCCTAACACTTCCATCTACCGTTACAGTATTGCATCTCTTCACTGCTGCCTCTGTTGGTCTCCGTTGAATATGACCAAACCATCTCAATCGATTCTCTCTCAACTTATCTTCTATCGGTGCTACTCCTACCTATTCCCGAAAATACTCATTCCTAATTCTGTCTTGTCTAGTCTTGCCACACATCCACCTCAGCATTCTCATCTCAGCCACACTCATCTTATCTATATGTTATTTCTTTGTCGCCCAACACTCCGTCCCATACAACATCGCTGGTCTAATAGCTATTCTATAGAACTTACCTTCAAGTCTAGTAGGTATTCGTTTATTGCACAGTACCCCAGACGCACTTCTCCACTTACACCATCCCGCCTTAATCCTATGGGCCACATCCGCATCAATCTCTCCTGCTGTTGTAATAATAGACTCTAAATAACGAAAATGTTCACTCTTAGGCAATTCTTGGTTCTCAATCTTCACTTCTCCTCTGCTTTCATTGTTACTGTTACTAAATTTACACTCCATGTACTCTATCTTAGTTCTGCTTATCCGAAATTCTTTAGATTCAAGTACTTTTCTCCAAATCTCCAACTTTGTATTAACTCCTTCTCTAGTCTCATCCACTAGCACTATATCGTCTGCAAAAAGCATACACCATGGCACGTCATCCTAGATATTTCTCGTCAACTCATCCATAACTAAAGAAAAAAGATAAGGACTTAAGGTAGATCCTTGGTGTAACCCTACAATGATAGGAAATTCATTTGTCTCTCCGGCAAGCGATCTAATAGTGGTCACCACCCCTTCATAAATGTCCCTAATCACATCAATGTAACATTTTGTCACCCATTTCTTCGCCAACACCCACCATATTATATCTCAGGGTACTCTATCATAAGCTTTCTCAAGGTCGATAAACACCATATGAATGTCTCTTTTCTTTTCCCTATACTTTTCTATTACTCTCCTCAAAAGATAGATAGCTTCCATTGTTGACCTGCCAGGCATAAACCCAAATTGATTCTCTAACACTTCTGTTATATCTCGCAATCGACGTTCTATCACCCTCTCCCACACTTTCATTATATGACACATTAGCTTGATTCCTCTATAATTGTTGCAATTCTGGACATCTCCTTTATTCTTATAGATTAGCACTAAAATACTCTTCCTCCACTCATCTGGCATGTTCCTGGTCAACAAAATTTTGCTAAACCACCTAGTCAACCAAGCAACCCCTTTTTTACCCAAACACTTCCAAACTTCAATAGGGATATCATCTGGTCCTAAAGCCTTATTTGATTTCATCTTCTTAAGTGCAAGCTCCACTTCAAAGTTCCTAATCCTGCGATAGAACCTATAGTCTTGGTTTATCGTATTATTGGCTATTTCTTCCCCTATTGCCGTACCTCCATGTTCCTCATTTAATAGTTTCTCAAAATAGTTTTTCCATCTTTCCTTAATCTCTTCATCCCTCACCAATACCGTAGAATCCTCGCTCTTGATGCACTTAACTTGATTAAAATCTCTTGTTTTCCTCTCATGTATCTTAGCAAGTTTGTATACCCTCTTCTCTCCCTCCTTACTATCTAGTCTAGTGTATAGGTCATCATAAGCTTTCAACTTAGCCTCTCTCACTACTTTCTTGACCTCCTTATTAGCCAATCTATAACTCTTAAGGTTTTCCTCAGTTCTATCCTTTTGCCACTATTTAAAGCACTCTTTTTTTGCCTTAACTACCGTTTGGACCTCTTTCTCCACCACCAAGTTTCCCTGGAGCTGGGTCCCGTTCCTTTCGACTCTCCAAGCACTTCCCTTGAGGTTCTCCTCATACAATTGGCCATTGAGTTCCACATAGTGTTAGCATCATCTTCCAAGTCCCAAGTACCCTCCTTCTCCATTCTATTCTTAAATATTTCTAATTTATCCCCTTTTAGGTCCCACCATCTCGTCCTACAACGCCCACCATTCTTCCTAGCTTGGTATTGCCCTCTAAAACATAAATCTAGTACCAAGATCCTATGTTGAGAGGTCAGGCTCTCTCCAGGAATCACCTTACAATCATTGCATTTTAGACAGTCCACTTTTCTCATTAAGAAGTAATCTATTTGGTTCTTAACTGACCCTCTCTTAAAGGTTATCAAATGCTCCTCCCTCTTCTTATACATAATATTGGTCACCACCAGGCAAGGTTCTGAAAAGCGGTTGCCGTTGCCGTAACGGTGGCGGTGACGCGGTTGCGGTTACAGGGTGTAAAGGCCGTAGCGTAACGGTTGCGGTAACCGGAACCGTGAATTTTTTTATTTTTCGCACAATTTGAAAAAAATTTACCGATACGCAAATCAATAACATGTTCTTCATCTTCCCTCTTCTCTCTCTCTATCTCTTGCTCTTCCATCTTCCCTCTTCTCTCTCTATCTCTCTTCCCCCATTTTCAATTTTTTTTTTTTGGCGTGTTTTTTCAAAAGAAGCAATTCGGAACCGTTACGTAACAGTGCGTAACAGGCCATTACGGCACCGTTACGACCGCTATAGCAGCCGCTACGGCCGATACACCTGTGAATCTCAATCACACTGCAAAAGCGGCCGTAACGGGTGGCGGCAACCACCACAACCGTTACGTAACGGCGTTACGTAACGGTTGCGGCCGCTTTTTAAAACCTTGCCACCAGGTCAGAAGCCAACGCAAAATCTAAGATACTCTCTCCAGCCTCATTTCTGTCACCAAAACCGTATCCACCATGCACCCTTTTATAGCCTAGTTTATCTATGCCTACATGGCCATTAAAATCACCACCTATAACCAGGTTCTCTCCTACGGGTATCTCCTGTAATATCTCATCCATTTGCTCCCAAAAATCCCTCTTAATCTGATCATCTAATCCTACTTGAGGGGCGTATGCACTAATAACGTTCACTATAATCCCTCCAATAACTAATTTAACCAACATAATCCTATCCCATTTCCTAATGACCACCACTACATTCTCCACAAGATCCTTGGCAATTAAGATTCCTACCCCATTCCTGCGTCTATCCTTACCACTATAATGGGGGTGTTTGTTTCAGCTTTTCAAAGCTAACTTATAGCTTTCAACTTTGAAAAAATTATTTTGGACTGTTTGGTTAAACTTATTTCAGACAGCTTCTGATTCTAACATCTTATTTTAACTTAAAAAAGCTGATTCTGAGAAACTGCTCACCCCTTGCTTCTGATTATCAGCTTCAGCTGTGGACATATTAATTTATGGTTATACTCTTAGATTTTTTTTATTTTTTATTTTGTAAAAAATAGAAAAAGAACCAAATGGACTATATATATTTTATGAGAAATGTAGACAAGTAATAAATAATAAAAAATAAAAATTTATTGAAAAAGCTATTTCACAGCTTATTTAACAAACACTACTCAACAACTTAAATCTATAATCCAACAGCTACACCAAACAGATTAGCAACTTCTGATTAAAGTCATAATCTATAATCTGTTAAGCTATAATCTATAAGTTGTTTTAACAGCTACACCAAATTGGGCCAATACAGTTTAAACCGGTATCCTTAATTTCTCTAGCTTTCTCACCCGTCCACTTAGTTTCTTGCACGCAAGCTATACTAACTCTCCTCCTAATCATAACATCTACCAACTCCATCGTCTTACCAGTTAAGGTTCCTATATTCCAAGTGGCTACCCTAAACCTATAGTCTTGAACTAGCTTCTTTACCCGCGCTCGTCCAGCAAAACGCGAGAGCCTTTGCCCATTTTTCACCGCACCTAGGTGTCGATGCAGCGCCCCTTACTCACTTTTCGAAACACCCGGAGGCAAGTACAACGCGTAACTTGAGGGAAACGACCTAGCATTTAAACGATTCAAAGTAGAATTCATTGTCATAAAGGATCCGAGCGGCTTTTTTACATGAAATATAGACATAGTTATATCTTCATATAACTTCAAAGCTATGTTACGTGCACTCGGAAACGGATATTAGGTGCCGGCATGTGCTGAACTATCAAGTTCATCAAACCTTTTATGTCCAAGGACACCAGAACACAACTAGATTCATATACTGTCAAGGGGATGCCACCCATGTTTCACGCTATAAGAACCAAAACAATAAAAAACAACTCCTATGCATCAATATATTCAAATTTCTCAACAAAATTCAAAAAGGATTCAATGAAGTCTCAAGACTCTTAACACCATCAAAACTTCTGCTATTAAGCTCCCCCCAGATGCTCCAAAATAAAATGGGAGGTCCTAACTGCCAGTTACCTCTTTTTTCTCTTTTCAACTTTGGCTACCCTCCAAGAAAGCAAAAGGTCCCAAACATTTGAAGGGAACACCCAAACCATGTCAAACAAGACTAAAAATAAAAATAAGGCCCAAATGTCCCAAAAGATGTGATCCCGCTCCCTCCTCACATATCACTAACAACAACCCCTCTATCAATTGTTATCTGCCTCGAGCTAGACAGGCCAGCTCCAACTTCTCTCCACAGCAAAGATGTCACCAAAACTGAATTCTCAAACACAAACCTCACATGATGGTGAAAACATACCCAACCTTCCTAATACCCTGTAAAAGGCCCACACCGATGCACAAAAACCTCCAAAGGAATCCAATCACCCCACCTACACCCATATTTTGCCAACACAAACCTTCTCCAAAATCTGTCCCACTCACACACAAAACTCCATAACACTTTCCCAAAAGAGCTTGATTAAGATTTCAAGATGCCAAATCCCTAACCACCCACTCAA